CAAGCCCAAGTCCGACTCTTCCACAACCCAAGTTCTTGTTGCGTCGGTTGTGCTTTGCATGGAAGCTACGTTTTCATCTTCGTGTAAGAGTGGTAGCAATTGTGTAACCCTAGCAACTAGTACAGGATATATATGGTATATATATACATGTACTGCCGCAGGGCATAAGTTGAAGTTAAAATAAGATATTAAGCTGGAGAGGCTGACCTCTCCTGTGTACTAGTCTCGATCAATCAGGGATACCACGTAAACATCGTCTTGATCTCGTTTATGCTTTCGTGTGGCTTGTTCGATTTCTCAGCTCGAGTGTGCACGATGGCGAGAGAAAGAGTACTACATTTTCTCCTTCCAAAATCGATCTGTATTTGGAAACATCTTTTTGTTCTTTAAAAGTGAAAGCACTTTTGACCGATCAGGGTCTGCGCAGAAAGGGCCGACCAAAACCTCGATCCTTAACTATGAATCCTTTCCTCTTACCGCCGCCGCCGATGTTGTCCTCGCTGCGTGTTTGCGGGACTTGACTCGAGCAGAAACGAATACCCAAACGCGACGAACGGGGAAGATCACTTTAATTTGTAGGGTGTGTTTGTTTTGCAACTTTTTGTTTTTGTTTTTTAAAGGGTGGTAAATAATTTTATTTTTAGTTAAAGCGTTAATAATGACATTAGGGCGACGTTATGCTTACAATAAAATAATCATATGCACATACAATTTCTTCTTCTACAGTATCATTTATAGTGGAAACTTATAACTACAACCACCATTCAAAAAATCCTGCTTCTAGAGTGATTTTCGGCCTGCTGACGTGGCAGAGGGAAAGGTCGGCGGTTTCCTTCTTTTCTCCGCTGGGTATTTTTCCTTTTAGCCCACAAAAAAGGAAGATGAAAATCAACGATAGCGAGGGAGGACGGAGGAGCTAGGAAACAGATCCGGGTGGCGACCTACGGTGGCAAAGTGGCAAACTGATTCCATTAACGGGGGCGCCGACTTCGAGTCTCATCGTCGGCAAAGGAAACTCGGATATCAGGCGACGAAAGGGGAAGATCTAGGTTTCTGAGTTGCGACGGTCAGCGCTGGGGATTCCAATTTTGGTTCGTCGGTGAGCGAATTCAAAATCTCTTTTCTGTGTCCTTGCCTACTGGGGCCTTCTCTACTTGGATTCTCCAGTTACCGTTCTGGATTGCTCCCTATTGATGGATATTGTCGACGCTATTCTCCAAGACTGAGTGAATGGCAACCGAGCAATAGCAACAGGGGACCGGCTAGAGGGCCACGCGCTCGATTTTGACGTCGAATAGTTCGCAATTCTGGTTGGTGAGGAACAACGGACAAAGTAGGCTCGCTAACCAGTCACAACTTCATCTGTTGTCGGGATGTTCAGATCCGGCGCTATGAACTGTGGGCATGTCATTCGCTCACCTTAAATCGATTTTATCTAACCTTTTTCTTTTGCAGGCTTTATTTGTTGTTGATTTCCATCGAGGTTCATTTTTCTATTCTTTTATGTTTAGTTTCTTATTGTTCCTTTTTTGTTGTGTTTCATTTTTTGTTTTGTTCTTTGTATTCTATTCTCCATGTTTGAATTACAGGCATGTCGCGCTAATGTTTCCCTTTGGAAACCCCACATTCGATGTTCTCCTACTATTCTCTCCGCCCCTGTTTTCGAGAGACCGGGTTGCCCCTCTTCGTCCCAGGATCCCACCACCCCTATTTTCGCTTCTGAGTTTTCTAATCAAGCTTTCGGCTTTAGCCATCGTCGGATTTGCTGGTGCCACTTGCACTGTCTCCCTCCGTGTGGCGTACAAGTTGGTACTTTGCTATTTCCTTCAGCTTTCAATTTGGTAGGTGTCATGACTGGCGCAGACTGGGATAAGCCTTACCATGCTTTACATATTCTCATGAGATGTGCTTTTTTAGTTTGTATTGGTGAGTGGCAGCAGGATAAGTTGTCTCACAAAATAAACATGTGTTTCCTTTTGGTGTTCTTTTTAAATGAGAATGTCCAAAGTTTCCTGCTTCGGTTTTGGGATACCATGGGTTGGCTCACTCTCTGTGAGATACCTTCATTTTTATTGTTCATGAAAAAAACTTAGGATTTGCTAGAAATGATAAGGGTTTAGCATTAGTTTTCATAAGACAATTAGTGAAAAATTAGAATCTACAATGTTTACTTTAAAGTTTTGTGTTCTCACTTGAAATTCAGCCTGTTGTTCTCGGAGTTGATAGGCTTAAGTTATGTCTCAAACATAGATCTGATGCATTCATCTTATCATATCATTATGTAGAGTATTCTGTTCCACAGCTGATTTCTCATCAGGGCCTTTTTTGTTTGTTATGTTCTTGGAAACTAATAAATTTCTAGGGAAATTAAAAGCTGGCCACCAGCGAAGGATGAATGCCTTTTGTAGATTCTGTCATGGTGTTTTATTTTGCTGTGTCTATTCTTGATTTGAAGTTTCTCATAGCTTCCCTACATAAGTTTAGGTAAGAAAAAGTAGTACTCAATTAGCTATATAGGTACTTTTATTATTATAATAGAATTAGACAGTGTTGGGGGTATGAGTTTTGGTAAAGTTGTTAAGTTATTATTATCTCTACATCTTTGTAGTTTTGCCAAACTTTGTGGCGTTCAAAAGTTGAGTTATGTGGTTTAGTATTGTCACTGCATTGTATATGTGTTTCCTGAATCTCCATGGCTTAATGAGCTACATATATTTCGTGTTTTTTTCATGGATAGGGTGGTTGTGTGGATGTATCAATAAGCTTTGCTCAATACGAAAAATATTAATGCCTAAAGCTCCCATAATATTAGTAGTGAACATGAAGTTGGTGACCTTGATGCTGCCAAATGCACCAAAATTGATCAAGCGAACCATGATATTATATTGCAACACCTTTAGTCGAGTCACTAAAGAGGAAGGTCCATGTGAATCAGAAAGTGATGCACAGATGATCGAGTTTTTGAGAGGAATTTTACAATGCTATATAGCATTGGTGCTATAGGTTTTTGCCTTTATGATACAACTTGAAATTGTACCTTTAATGTTATGGTACAACTTCAAATTGTACCTATACTTTTTGTACAAATTCTTTTTATGGTACAATTTAAACTTGTACCTTATGTGATGGAACAACTTCAAGTTGTAAAGTTGTACCATAACATAATGCTACAAATTCCTTTATGGTACAACCTAAACTTATACATTTAATGTTATGGTACAACTTCAAGTTGTACATTAAAGCACCAATGCTATATAGTATAGTAGAAGTGCTCAGTTTTTGAATGTTTATTCTCATGAATGTTCAATTAGGTTTATCGATGACTTTATACGCATTATAGCAGAGTGGATTGTGTGTTTCTCTATACCTACACGTTTTATTTTGCTAAGTCACTTTGTATGAATACTTCACCAAGTTTGTGACTCCATTTCTTTTTATGCATGGAGCATCATGCAAATCATCATGCCTTCTAACAATAACTATATATATTCACTATCTCTTCCCCTCTGTTATCTATGGCTCTATCTTCTAATCAAGTTGCAACACTACTACATTACGCTACATATTTCCTAGCTCCTAGAATGATTAACTTACATAGCAATGTTAGTTGTATATGATGATGTACTGTGGGATCCCTTATTATGTCAGGTATAGTTGGATGGACTTAAATTATTTTTATATTTGACTATTTTCAAATTTAGGATGGTAAAGTTTTGCACCAGTTTCTCAAATTTGCCATGAGTGAATGTCTAACCAGTGGTTCTGATTAAATTGTTGTAGGGGGATTTTTGTACTTTAGTAGGAACTCTACCTAAAATTTGCAATAGGTAATGGGTTTAGTAAAATGTTGGGTGATAAGGATCACAATGATTGTCAGAAAGGCTAGGGTTGATACATTAGTCGTATACCACTGTTGGCCTTAATGTTTCGTAGAGGGCCCTTCCTCCACTCCCTTCATCTCTATCGTCGTTCTCCGTCCTCTCCTTTCATTGGGAAGCTAGGATCAAACGGTTGTTTTGCATGTCAGTGGTTGGACGACGTCCAAGTGGATGTCAGTGGGCAAATTCAGTGTCGAATAGGGATTGTGTCGGAGGTAGCTAGATCCACCCATATCCTCCTGCTCTCCATGTCTGAGATTCGGCGTCGGCGGTTGTAATGTTCTAACGAAGAAATTGGGGTGTTAAAGTGCTTCCTCTAGAAATGCCACTATCAACTTCTATCTGTCGAGGTAATTTTCAGCTACCAACCCAAGCTCGATTCACGCCAGCAAACGAAATCACCTTCTGCGTTATGCGTATAAAAGGCAGTTTAAATCACGTAGACCCACAAAAGCGTTTCATCGAAAACTCCACTAGCAGCTTCTCTATGTCAAGGTAATTCTAAGTCATCAACCAGCCAGCTTTTGATATTTGTTTCTATCGGTCTGCCGTTTCGCTTCTTTATTTTAGCTATATGCTTCCATCCTCTTATGTTCGTGAAAGGTTTTTGATTTGTGTCTGATGGAGCACGATTGGAAATCTTAAGATGATCAACTTTATGCTTTTGTAGCAATAAGTTAATCCCTTGAAGAAATTCTAATTACTATTTTAATTTAATGCATAGTTGTCTTAGTTTTGTTTGTATCTAATAGTAAACCAAGTTAATAATACCAATATAAAGAAATAATTTTAAGCAATTTATGATACAATAAGTAGTGCAAATTCTTTTAATACGAAACATGTATAGGCCGTGGTGAGTTAGGATAATCTGATTAACAAAAATATATATGAACTAATTGTTATCAATGTCACAATTATCAAGTAGTGCAAAGATCACTTTCGATTATTATGAAGTAATGAAAAATAAGATGAAATCATCCGACCAACGGATCGGGTAAAAGCTAGTTTTTGTTTTTATTAAGACATGCTTCTATTTTGGATAATTTTTTATTTCTTCTATTAATCCTTTTTTACCGTAATAGTAAATCCTTTTCCTATGTGGAACTGGAACGAACTAATTCCGCCGACCGCCGAGACTTATTAATTTCTTTTCCCTCTCAACTTCTGTGTTCGACCTTCTCACCAAAAAAGAAGAAACAAAATACTTCTGCATTCGACCGAAGAGAAGCCCAGCCGACAGTCCCACCAACATTGTCCCAGCATCCTCCGTTTGAGTAAGAATCGGCAGCAGAAGCGCTGAGGTTCCAAGTAAGCCATTCTACTCTTCAATCAGCCGGTTCTCCTCAACTGAAACATTTCTTAATTATGTTGTGTTTTTTTATCAATTTCCTCTTGCATGTTTGTTCTTCCTTTGTTAATCACTAGATTAGATGCCCGACTGGGCTTTACCTGGCGAATTTCAGTTTGCCTCCCGAATTTTCGGCCGATTTCGTGTTTTTTATTAGGGTTAGGAAGCTCAGCATGTTGTTCTTCTTTTTTCCCAGAATTTTATTAGGGTTATTGACTTATTGTCGTAGACTTATTAGTTCCACTCCTTGTTTTTATTTGCAGGGCTTTAAATCCGTCACAACTCCAAAGAAGAAATCTGTAAGCAATCTGTACCAATGAGTTATTTGAATTCCTAAACATTTTCGTAGGCTCTAGTCATTGAGTTTTGGTTAATGTGAGTTTCATCGTTAGGGATGATGGCCGGTGTGACCATTCTCTGATGTGGCTGGTGGCAGCTGGCGTATATAATTGTTAATTTACATGTTCATTTTATTGCAATAGATGCTCTGGGCATGGGATGTTTGCATGTTCATTTTATTTCTACAAAGGCTGTAGACATGTTAAGAAAGCCATAACTTTCCGAGTGAATTAGTCAGCTATAGATTCACCAAAGTATTGCATAATCTGAGTTTGTGTTGAATATGAATGCATGGGTTTGCTGTTAGTATTTGCGGAAATACTTTGCTTATCGTTTTGTGTTTTTGTTTCCGATGCCACCTTCAAACTCAATCAGCTGTAGAGCACCCCCGTCGACGATGGCCACTGAAGGCGATGATAGCTGGTCCTCGAGGATGAGGAAAGAGTGTGCTAAAATGGCTGAAGGGGAGCTGGAGAGTTTGATTGCGAGGCAGCAAAGAATTTTGGAGAAAGTTGGTCGTAAATTGCCAGACGGAGGGCGGAAACTCAGGGTTGCCATTGAAATCATGGGACAGGAGCGACAGATGAGAAAATCCCAGCGGGAAACTATGTCCGACGCATCTACATATTATGGTGAAGCACTTCGTGGTGCTACCGGAAGATTTGCTGCTTCACAAGAAGGGTTGGAATCCCTTCGAAATGAATTGAACATAGCAAAACCCGAAAATTTGGAATTGAAGTGCAAGGGATTTGGCAAAGCTGACGCCCATGTCAAGGTTGATGAAGAGGATGTGCAGATTGCAAGGAGGCATCGTGAAGAGAATGGGGTGGTAAGAGTAGTCAATCCCAAACCGTGGAAAAGACTCCGGCAAGATGTTGGTGAGGCTCTGGGCTACTCTGTTCGTGCGCACTCTACAATGGATAAATCGATTAAGAAGACCATTGATGCTGTGAAAATGCTTGGGCATGCAATTCAGAATGAGCCCGTCATCTGTTTGACTGACAATGCTACGGATTATGACTTTCTTCATTCATACATTCTAGAGATGACTAGGCTGCAGTACAACTTCACCGAGCACGACTTTTGGGTGTATTCTAGGGCTGTGTTTGCTAACTTGAAGCAAGCACGAGATTTTTTCGAGAAGGAGAATGACCAGGAGAAGAAGACTTGGCTAACGCACTTTGTCTTCAAATTCAACTTCGCTAAGAAACGTGGGACTCCACCAGCACCGTATGATGACTCGGTCTTTCCCGATGTGAACCGTGACGAGTTTATAGAGATGGTGACCAAGTTGTACCCTCTAGGAAAAGACCTGCGGCAACATTTTCGGGTGTTCATTGGAGATAAAGTGAAAAAGAATTTTTTTAAGCTTCTACCAACCGATGAGATAAAAGTAGCCTGGCTCAATCGAGATGTGTTATATTTTGAGGGAGATGTTGCTGAAGATTTGGATAGCCTGTTGGCATATGAATATGGCGATGATGTCTCGTTCCATGGTGTTGGTGACCATCAGTCTTATGATGATGATGATGGCCAACATATTTATGACGTGCCTAGTGAAGATGGTCCACCGAATGTTGAAGATGTGCCCTCGGATGAAGAAGTTGGCCTCGATACTGAGTTTGAGTGGACGCATTATCGAGTATAGACATAGGTTAGGTTGTAAGAACTTTTCAAGTATTCGGTTGAAACAAGTACAAAAGCACTTGCGGCTTGCCGAACTATTTTGTTAGTGAATCCCAAGTATGTTCAATGTCAAACTATTTTGCTCTTGAAGCATGTGCTGAATCTGATCTTCTTTAGAGATTGTTTTATGGGATGTCACTCAAGACATGGAAGCTGTTAAGAAATATGCTGATCCTATTGAGTCTCTGATGGAGAATCCCAATTGAAGGTTTGTCAAGTTCGTGGGGAAAAAGTACTTTACCATTGTTCATCCGATAAGAAAGCTCCAATACAATTGGAGAATGCTTACCGATAAGAAAGCTCCAATATTTTGACTAAACTCAAAGCATTTGAGAATCCAAACCAATTTATGTGGACCTCTATTAAAATCCATGTTAATCAAACACTCAATTGTGATGATGATTTGAGTGTTAATCAAACACCTGTAGGAATAATGATAATGATATCTAATAACTAATAAACTAATCATCTCGTTACAAAAATCACTTGATCCAACCAAACTAAGAACCCATTTTCCTTATCTGATCACACATGCGAGAGCCTGTTGTAACGTAACAAGATAGAGTTTCGAAAGGAATTTAAAGAGAAGGATTGGACAAAATTGGATGATTTAGAATTGGAGATTAGGGTTCGTGAAAGCTAATAAGGGATAATTCTGACGATACTTTGATAGATTGTTCATTGATATCACTAACCATAGAGCTAAAGTACATTGTATAAACTCTAACTCGAAGTCCTAATTGACTAAACCTAATTAAATACTAAACTACCCTTAAATTAAATCCCCTAACCGTATCCTCATTGATTAGAAATTGTATGTTTAAGTGAAAATATTAGTAATTGCCCTGTTGTTTTTTTTTTTCACGTTCAAATTTCAGCGCGACTTATTTTCCTTCCCTCCAAGTCCCAAAAACATTCTCCCATAATCCTTCGTGTGAGTAAGATTCGACACCAGAAACTCTGAGGTCCACTACAAGTCAGGGGCGGAGCTAGCATTTAGTGCTAGGGGGGCCGGATTTCATAATACATTACCGCAAAAGACTAAAAAAAATACTAATAATTAAAATATTTAGGTTTAAAAATCTGTTTTTTATACTAATTTTGTTTTATTATAACCATATAAAATATTTTTCACATTATATTTACTATAAATTAGAAAAAAAAATGTATTTCAAGAAGCAAAAGCGGTAATTAATTGATGTAAACTACAATTTAAAAAGGGAAATAAAAATTACAAAGTTAATGACTAAAGTTTCTAATACCCGCTTACTATAAAAGAAAATGAAGGAGAAGTTGTAGTTTATGTAAACTACCATAAAAGTAATTAACCTAGGGGAAAGTTGTAAACTGCTTCCCTTAACCAAAAAACAATTAACCTAGCAGAAAGGTGTAAATTGCTTCCCTTTGGCATCGAACCCAAGACCTTTGGGTGATAAAATAGTTCATCTTCCACTGGGTTACTATAAAAGAAAATGAAGGAGAAGTTGTAGTTTATGTAAACTACCATAAAAGTAATTAACCTAGGGGAAAGTTGTAAACTGCTTCCCTTAACCAAAAAACAATTAACCTAGCAGAAAGGTGTAAATTGCTTCCCTTTGGCATCGAACCCAAGACCTTTGGGTGATAAAATAGTTCATCTTCCACTGGGTTACAAAAAAAATTATATCTTAATTTTGCACGGTTTATGTTTTATATAAAAATTATAGTTTGTACACACGATCCCGACGTATTTATACGTGACTTTCGAGATTCTCGGGGAGGGCCTGGCCCCCCGACACATGCTGTAGCTCCGCCCCTGCTACAAGCAATCCATTACATTCTTTAAACTGCCTCTAAAACGTTTCTTCTGTTATGATTTTGATCGATGTTCACAGACATAATTGTTATTCCTTTGTTAATCACTAGATTAGATGTAGCTTTTGCTTTTCGACTAGAAGAAAACCTAATCTGACAGTCCCATAATTATTCTCCCAGAATCACCCGTGCAACTTGCAAGTAAGAATCGGCATTAGAAGAGTTGAGGTTTCATGTGCAAGTAAGTCATTCTACTCTTTAATCGAGCACTTCTCCAACAAAAAACGTTACTTCTGTTGAGGTTTTGATCAATTTCATCTTGCATGTTTGTTCTTCCATATATATATATATGGTGGCTTCTATCGTACCTTAGGTAAAATCTGTCAAGAACCAGTTGATCCCAATAACTCGAGTTGTTGGGAGAAGGTTCTGCTGGATCTTATACCATACTCTTACACGCCCCCTCAAACGAAAGCCAACCCATGGGCTTGAAGTTTGCACATGCCCACCATACTTTGTGCTTTAATAACTGTTAATATTGGAGGTCGTGGAGATTCGAACACATGACCTTTTGGTTCTAGGCTCTGATACCATGTCAAGAACCAGTTGATCCCAATAACTCGAGTTGTTGGGAGAAGGTTCTGCTGGATCTTATACCATACTCTTACAAAATCAAGGGTACGACATATCCTGAGTAAGAAAATGCTATCCAGACATCGAATTAACCAGATTTTTGGCATGATACTATACCCTAACCTTTGATGGGTGCATATAATTTGTTGCATATATTTCAACGAATCATGACTGTCGATTTTTGTTTCTTAATAAGTTGATCTTCGTGTATGAGATTTATAGAGATAAGACATAAATTCTAATCTTTAAGAGTTTGAGAATAGTACCAGATGCGAAACTCATGTCAACTTAAGGTCTAAATATCATTTTCTTACTCAAGGTACGACATACCCTGGATTTTACTCGGGGTACGATAGAATGGTCCATATATTAGAGATGACATCAATTATTTTTAGTAGGAAAGAATAGTTAAGTTACAGAGGAAAGGAAAAGCTGCAAATTAAGTTCCAAGGGCCGGTTGTATCACTATATTAGATGCTCGATTTGAATTTTTCTGGCAAATTTCAATTTACCTCGTGATTTTCAGTATGTTTTGGCTTATTTCTTGTTTTTTTATTAGGGTTAGGAGTTACTTTAGCCAAATCTTCTCATCCAACATTGTTTGGTGAGAATGCCTTTTAGCCAAATTTTCCTCTCAACCTCTTTCTCCACAGCATCTTCATCGACGGTTATTTGGGCCCATGTTACTTTGAACTCCCTCTATTTTTATTGTATCTTATTTACTGCATTTTGTTTTACTTTAATTGATTTGTTATTTTTTAGAAATGAACATCTATGTTTGTCATGTATTTATGTGAGAAAAAAATTATTTATCATTCTATGTTCTATTATAATAAAATTATTACTATTATCGACATAAATCTACCTTACATTTTGTGGTATTAGTTTGAGTAACAACATGAAGTATTTTAAGAAACATATGATTAAGACAAACACAACAAAAGAAAATGGAAGAAACATTTGGCCTTTCCACCAATATTGTATGAAAGATCGATCTTTCGAATGTGGATTGTGATGAGTTTGAAGAGATGTCGCTAAGTTGTAGCATCTGAGAAATGATTTGAGGCAACGTTTCCATGTGTTTATCAAGGAAAAAAGCAAAGAATTTTTTTAACCTTGTACGTACCAAGCACTAACAGATCATGAGATCAAAAAATGTGACTCAATCGTAATATATTATATTGTAAGGGGGATGGTGGTGAGGACTTGGATAACATGTTGTCTTATAAATACGATGATGGTGGTGGCCAGCAGTTTTATGATAAAGTTGTTGAAAAATTTCCCTCAAAGGGTGAAGCTATTGAAGATGGTTTCTCGAATTGTGAAGAATATGATATCAGCATTTTTTAAAATACTTGGCTTACCTTTTATTGCTTTGTTTTGTTGTAGACTTTTAGTAAGTGCAACCACGTCTGACACATCTACATGTTATCATGAAACAGTTTGGGCTGCAACTCAAGGATTGGTACTTCTCAAGAACAAGTGGAATCCTTTCAGAATAAATTGAACACAACAACACCTGGAAATTCGAAAATCAAGTACATGAAGTTTACAATGTTGAAGCCCATGTCAAGCTTAATAGAGAGGTTGTAAAGATTTAAAGGAAATAGAGCGAAGGGAAGGGGGTAGCAAGAGTAATTAAGGCCCAAGAATAGAAAACACTCCAAAAAGTTACTCAAGGCTCTGGAATACTTTTCATGCTCAGGTTAAATGGAAAGTCGATTCTGAAGACCAATGGTGTAGTGAATATTGTTTGACATATAGCTCAAAAAACAGTTGACATCTGCTTGAGTGACAATTTTATGGATTGTGATTTTTCCAACTTTCATTAGACAAATAGCTAGATTGCGGTGCAACTTGACTGTGCACGCCTTTTGCTTGGGTTATTCCGCTATATTGGCGAACTTGAAACAAGCACGAATTACGCAAATAGGCAAAAAAAAAATGCTTCGAGAGGCTCTCGCCTCTCTCTCCCTCCTAATTTCGCTCGTGGGAAAGTGGCTATCTAGGGTCACCGTCGTTGTCCTCGCCGTATGTGTGCGCAACAAATTCCAGGAGACCTAGCTCCCGAAGCCAGCCTCCCCTGTTCGGAGCGAGGCCCAGGAGAAGGGGAGACAAGAAGCCCCTCTTATCGTCAGTCGCCCTTTCAGAATTTACAGGGATTTTGGCCGGCGTGGAGAAAGACGGCACTGTGTGAGGAAGCGATCGTTCCCGATCGATGTCGAAGATCATCAAAATTTCGCGGCTCGTCCGTGGAAGAGAAGCAAGAAGGGGCCAAAGATTCTATGACGATTTTGGCTCCCCTTCTCGACAGATTTGGATGAAGAAGTTTCGGAATTTGCCTCGTTCGCGGGGAGAGAGACCCAGAACACCAGACCTAAAGTGAAGCAGGCTGGGTTCTGTGGCCAGGAAAGTCAAAGTATCCCCTTTGGGGGTGGGACTCGTCCCGGAACGGCAGCAGATAGGGTCAGTAACACTTAGTTACTGACATGTCAGTAATGAATAGGGACCATAGATCTAAGAGGTAGGCAATCGTGTGGTTGGGCCGGACGCTGAGTGGAGAAGGGTATTTTTGTCCGTTTATACATTAAATTCTTTATTTTATTTTATTTCGTATTTAATGGCTGCACTTTTAAGGAAGGAAAGAGAAATCACTTCTCTGCAATTTTCTATCTTCCTTCTCTCTTCCTTTTTCTCTCCCAATCTCTTTTCCAGATCCTCTCTCTTTCTCTCTTCCTTTTTCTCTCTCAATCTCATTTCTAGATCTAAATCTGCTCCCTTATCTTCTTCTTTATTTTTTTCATGACGAATAAAAATTGGAGCCACTCTTTTTCATTGCATTTCTTCTCTTCATCATCTCATTGGCCTCAATTTCGATCTTTCTCATTTTTCGGCATTTTGGTGTTCTTAATTGCGGAAGAGGAAATGAGAGGCGACACAAGACGATCTTTTTTCTCTACCTCCTTCTGTTTTTTTTTTCCTTTTAGATAATATATATTGATATTATAACTCTATACCATATGGTATTCGGTGGTAACGAAATATATATTGATATTACCACACTATACCATATGGTAATGTATGGTATTGTGTGGTAACGAACTATATATTGATATTACCACATTATACCATATGGTAATGTATGGTATTGTGTGGTAACGAATTATATATTGATATTACCACACTATACCATATGATATTGTATGGTATTGTGTGATATTACCACACTATACCATATGGTATTGGGTGGTAACGAAATATATATTGATATTATACCATATGGTATTGGGTGGTAACGAAATATATATTGATATTACCACACTATACCATATGGTATTGGGTGGTAACGTAATATATATTGATATTACCATATTATACCATATGGTATTGGTGGTAACGAAATATATATTGATATTACCACACTATACCATATGGTATTGGGTGGTAACGTAATATATATTGATGTGTTAAATTTTTTTCATACCATATGGTATGGTCAATACCAGTCAATACCATATGGTATAGACTGGTAATAACTGACAAATTTTTTTATGTCAAAAAAATATCAAAGTGGATATCATTTTGAAGAGCACAATTAATCTGATCTAACTGTGCAAAAAAAATTAAATTTCGACTTAAAACGAGTGAGAAATCGTCCGTTAAAGATTAAGGGAAGGAAAATTAAATGTTTTGCGAGGAGAGAGAAGGCGCTGATGTGATCCGGTCAAAAGTCAGCCTCAGCAATAAATAGGAGAAAGTGTTATTTTACTGTACTACCCTTTTCACATTTAATTTAAATAAAAAGTGTCTGACACGTGGGGACCATAGAAGGGGTTACTGATGGGTTACTGACCCGATCTGGACCCTCCCGGAACAGTATGTGCAGTGGAAGCTGGCTCTGGCCATTTGAATTCCAATGGCGATGTTACATATAACAACAAAAATGAACCCGCTAAAGTGATGTTAAATTACGAAGCCTCTGGTAGTATTGGTACTCTCGAGATAATTCCAAAACAGAGGAAGCAGGTGAGACGATTTCGGCTCAGTATTGCAAACGTCTCCGGCAGAGATACGGTCGGTTGTCCTGTTGGCGCCGATGATCCGGAGACTTCGGGGAGGAAGGTGAATCGACCGGGGGGAGAGGGGTGGTTTGTTTTCCAAATCCCTATTCTGGTTAGGCGAGATTTGCGGTGGCCAGCTCCAACCGCAAAATCTGCTAATTCCCCCCCAGAAGAGAACTCCTAATCCAAAACATACTCTGCCTGAGGAAAATCACAGAGGGACACGTCTCTTTGGGGAGAGGTCGGGTATCAAGCATTATAAATTGGGGTCGTTTGCTAATCTGCAATATCATAATTCTTTGTGGTTAGCGACTCGTCCAGAGAAGAGAAAACCTAAAGCCAAACTGCTGTGTGACACAGCTGCCGAGCTCCGATCCTCCGCTACTGCCGATCAGCTGCCCTCTGAGCGAGTGTCCTTGGCAGGGAAAGAGACCCCTCTGCAACTACTCGGTGAGAAGAGAAAATCTAAAGCAAGGTGTGACCCAGCTGCCGAGCTCCGCTCCTCTGCTTCTGCCGATCAGCTGCCCTCTACGCGAATTCCCTTGGCAGGTAAAGAGCCCCCTTCCCAAATAAATGTAATCGGCTCTGATCCTGCTGCACTCTTGAGTGCCCTGCCAACGGGGGAAGAAGTTGATTTAGGAATCACATATGTCTCCAAATCTCTAGTCGCAATTGAGGGTGATAAAAACGTAGTCGGGCAGGGTGCTTTTTCTTTTTCTAATGCCTTCGGGAAAAATGTGAATGGTTTGGCTTCGGCTATACATCTAAACTATAGGCTTCTTGCTAATAATAGCACAATAAAAAGTCCTCTTACCGCTCTATCTCCCACTTCAATGAGAGAAACGACCCTACCTATTGCGTCTAACGATTTATCTATCAATGATTGTCAGGTGAATACGATGTCGCGGATTGCTGAGGATCAAGTGGTCGAGTTCTCGCTGGAAGAGGTTCAATCTGTGAGGTATCGAACTGCTAGGACCCTTTTGGGGAGACTCTTTTCGGAGACCAAGTTCACTCCCACAGAGCTGAAGGAGGGACTGGTGGAAGCATGGCGGGTGAAAGGAAACCTTAGGGTTTCAATCACTCAATTTGGCTTGTTTGAGGTGGTTCTTCCAAGCGATGAGACAAGGGTGTGGGTCCTGAAAAGAACGCCCTGGATCGTCAAGGACAGGATTTTCCATCTCCGGTCCTGGACACCATCCATTTCGAGGCTCACCTTCGATGAACTAGCCATTGCCCCCTTTCGGGTTCAACTCTGGAATGTGAAAGATGACTGCTGCACAAAACAGTTCGGCCGGAAGATGGCAGCTGGGACTATTGGTCAGGTCCTGGAAGCAGATGTCATTGCATCCAGGGAGACAAATGAGAACTTTGTAAAAGTGCTTGCTCTCATCGATTTTACAAAACCACTGCGGTCCCAAATCATGGCGGTGAACGCTAAGCTTGGCAATTTTTGGGTCAATCTCAAGTATGAGTTCTTACCGACCGTCTGCTACCACTGTGGGCGAGTGGGGCACTCCAAGCGCGACTGTGTTTTTAATCCTCCTTCGGGCAAAGAACGCTTTGGTCCACATATGTCAACAAAGAAGCTCGGACGAAAGATATACATGGAGGAGGATAATTATCCTAAATTTCGGGATACAAGCAAGTCTGTGTTGGTGAACAAGAATGTTCAGCTACAGAATGATGGGAGTGCAAGGACTGGCAGGGGTCGAGCAGAGGAGGGACCAAGGGAGACTGGGATGCACAATCAGGGTCCAGGGGGTACCAGGTTCGTAAACCAAATCCGGATGATCGGGCCAGTAAGAAGACCCAGCCTCGGCTGCAAGAACCAGCGACCCAGCTGGTTGGGGACCGCAATAGCCCAAAGGGGTTTAGCATCAAGAAATCACCTAAGATTAAGATTGGTGGTGGGATGCGGCAATCGTAGCGGAAGATGTCGCCTAACAAGAAGACCCGTCTGCCGGGAAAAGGTTCTAAGAGCCGCCAGCAACCTTCTAGGCATGTGAAGCAGATTTCCCATCATCAACAGGTGGCTGACCCAGTGGAAGTGATCCTTGAGCAGGCCCGTAGGCGTAGAATGATTTTGCTGGGGGAATCAGAGGAGGAGGAGGAGGTGCTCCCTGCACTTCAAAAGAAGAAGGATGTTCTGGCATCCAAGACTGGGATCCAGCCAAGAGGGTCGGGGGCTCGGGCTCGCCCACATTTGAGAAAAGGAGGGGCTAGTGTTCCCCTGCCTATCTCTACCCAGGATGGAGGCGCCAGTCCTACTGGTGCTATGCGGGATCTGGATGATATTGAGGTTGATGCAACGCTTGGGGGTCCAAAAGTTTTGGCTCATCGACAGGTTTCTGACTCTGATGAAGAACCATCGTTTGGTGATCCTCTTACCTTTGAAATCAAGCGCCGCTCACCGGCTGGAGGATCCATAAAGACCCCCCAAATCACTAAAGGCCGAGTGCATCGAGTGGTGGAGGCGTTTGAAGCGGGGCTTAGCATCGGGCAGGCGGCGGAGGATCCATGCAAGGGAGGGAGCTTGATATTGAATGAATATGGGTCAAATCTGATGGCCCCATCCATGGAGAATCGTAAACGTATGATTGAGGAGGTTGAGGGCGAGGTGGGAGATCCTCCTACCCCGAAGAAGCAATTTGTGGAATCAACGGATGATCAGGAAAAGGTGGAGGAAGCCAGCCTCGAGTGGCCCCCAGTGGATAAATGAGGCTTCTGGCCTGGAATGTGAGGGGGATTGGGCCTACCCTCACCTTCCAAACTGCTTTAGGGCTTGTGCATTCTAATAAGCCGGATGTTGTGTTTTTCTCTGAAACATGATCGATCCGGCGCGTAGTGTCCCGCCACATGCGGGGGTTAGGTTTTGATGTTTCCCATTGTTTTTTTGTTGATGCAGTCGACGCATCGGGGGGGGGGGGGGGGGGGGGGGGGGGTTAGTAGTTGCTTGGGTCCCCGGAGTTGTCACTTCGGTGTTTTGTTATTCCAATTTCTACATTTGTTCGCAAATTAATGAAGGAGATTCTTCTTACTTGGTGTTTTTTGTCTACATTAGTTGTGATGTTGCTGTTCGGGCCAATCAATTGGCTCATTTGCGTGATGTTTGTGCGGATTGTCCTCACCCTTTTGTGGTCATTAGAGATTTCAATACTACCCTCTATG